GGGCGCCCATCTTGGCCGTTCCAGCATTTTTTTGCGGAAAAAAAAGCCCTACAAATCGATTTGTAGGGCTTTTTAACATGAAATTGGTTCCGTAATCGACCTACCCAATCCATATTACACATAAAAGAGTCGAAATTACATCAAAAAATCGAAGCCCAACCCTTCTTCAAGCTTGATTTCAAATTTTTGAATTTTCTTTTTGCTTTTTACAGTTTTGGGGGTTTCTGGATTTTTTTGGAAAGTTTTGGGGGATTTTGTTATAAACCGCAAATAATAATTTTCTAACCGTAAATAGCATTTCATTTCATTTATCATCCTCCTACTATCAAAACCTTCACTTACCCCTGAGGACTAACGGTCAACATAAAATCACAGTTAATACAGTTAAACCTCTATAAATTAATCAAAATTTCATTAATTTAGCAAAATATTAACTTATCGATTAAATTAATAATTATTAATTTATAAGATTAATTAATAACTTATTAATTTGTGAAATTACGTTTATTATTACTTTCAATAAATACATTTTTTTAAATTTTTTTACTTGTATATTATTCATTGTACCATTAGTTCAATGCACTATAGAACCGGTTTCACAAACGCAAGCTCATAAAGTAGCAATGGTATAGAGCGATTTTATGTTGAGTTATGAGAAAATTATACCGATAGTTCTAACCATGTTAAGAAAAGTGATGGACGAGATTGATGGTAATGTGAACTTCAACAAAAAACAAGCGACAATTAAATTGTATTGTATTAAGCCTTCATAGATCTATACAATATGTACCGTACCCAGTGGCGAATCCAGGATTTTTGCCAAGGGTGTTCGAAATTAAATATAGTAAAAAAGGTAAAAGTTTACGGGGGTTCGGGGGCAGCGCCCCCGAATTTTTTTTTAATACTATACACATTAAAAAATAAAAATATGTAATATTTTCAAATTTTAAGGGATTATTTTACAAATTTTGGGCTAATTTAGGAAATATTTAAACATAAAATTGGTGAAAATATTTAAGGAGTGGTAAGCATACTAAAGTTGCAAGTGACAAAATGTGTATTTCATTAGCAGATTTTGAATTTAAAAAAAAAAAAAAAAAAACCCACATAGTTGTAAATTTAGAAAATAATTGTAATAATGCATGTATATATAAAATTAAGAATTTTGGAATAATTTAGATTATATAACATATTAAAGGAATGGTAAATAAATTAAAGTTGCAAATAGCAAAATATATGTTTTATTAGGAGATTTTGATTTTTTGAAATATTCAAAAATACCCACATATTCAAAAAAATTGAAAGCAATTGAAAAAAACAATTGAAATATTATATGTATTACAAATAAAAAAAACAACAAAATAGAAATTACAGATTCAAATAGCAAAATATATGTTTTATTAGGAGATTTTGATTTTTTTTTTTGAAAGAAAAGAAGATATTATTAGGCACCCAAGGCCAAAGAAGTAGAGGAAGGAAGAGAGTTCCCTTCTAAAACATTCAAGACATTAAGAGAAGCTAAATTATGAGCAAGATTGTTCCCTTGCCTCTTAATAAAGGAAAATGAGCAAGAATTAAAATGCCTAGCCCGAAAAAGACAGTCTTCAACTATGGCACCAAAGGGTTCGAGAGACTGATCTCCTCGTTTGAGGGCCTTAAAAACCGGGAGGCAATCTCCCTCGACAATAATAGCAGTCCAGTAAAGACGTTGAGCTGTATTGATCGCATGCCGCACTGCTTGAGCTTCCCCTTCCGCTGGTGAAACTCGACCTAGTATTCTCTCGACACGCCACCACACGCATCCACCATCTGCATTTCGAGCCACCATGGACACATTAAAATGATCTGCATTTGCGGGGAAGGCCGCGTCCACATTGATTTTAAGTGTTCCAGCCGGAGGCGGAGTCCATGCGACTGGGTGAATCGTCTTTGTGATGGTAAGCTGACCGAATTGTATATCTCTAAACTCGTCCAAGGACGCTTGGCACCATGGAATAATATCTCCAAGCTTCATCCCTTCCTCACCATGTAGTAGCCGGTTTCTCTCCCATATTTTGATTTTTTGAAATATTCAAAAATACCCACATATTCAAATTTTTTTAAAACAATTGAAATATTAGAAATAAAAAAAACAACAAAATAGAAACAATTGAAATATTATATGTATTAGAAATAAAAAAAAAACAATTGAAATATTAGAAATAAAAAAACAACAAAATAGAAACAATTGAAATATTATATGTATTAGAAATAAAAAAAAAAACAAAATAGAGGGGTCTCATCAAGGTCTCGAACTTTGGACCCCTTTGTAATTAGAGGATAATTCTACCGGTTCAACTACAACATCTCATAAAAATATTACACATTTACAGTTATATAATATATAAATATATAGGGAACATTTTTTTTTTCAAAATCAAGGGTGTGCAGTTGCACACCCTAGGACCACACTGGATACGCCACTGACCGTACCATGTAATTTAAGAATTATTTTTACGCATTATTAATTTATTATATTATATGGGGCTTCTTAAAATTTTCGAATGTGTATTATCTCATAAATTTAGCGAATTATTAATTTAGCATGTTGTCCCCGAGTCGGGACCGAAAAAATTTATTATTAAAGCGAGGTGATTAATTTATCGGATATTTAATTTATCGATGTTCTATTGTAGTTAATAGATACCTAAATTAGTAAATGTACGAAACTAACCTTTAAATATTGAACTAAAAAAAAAACTGAATTTTTGCCGCTACTTGTGTGATGAACGTTTAAGTTGACATAATGTGTTTTGGTGTTGACCACTCAACAATTTGTGCCAACTTTAGTGGCATCTATTTTATTTTGTCAAAGTGATTTCTCTACCACTAAAAGTATGATGCACGTTTATATAATGATTTTTTATTTAATTCAAGTGTGATTTTTTTTATATTATTATCTTGTTTTTTATGTCTTATTAATGTGCTTATAATATTATAGAAATAAATAGATAAAATATAAATAAGCTTCAATGATACGTAGGATTACTTAGAAATTTGATTATAGTTATTAATATATATAATATAAAAAAAACATGTAAATAAAATCAAATAAAAATGAAGAAGTGAGCATTTTTTAAAGTTGTAAGATGTAAGTTATATATAATGTTTCTTCAACTCCATATTCAACTTTTTAATGCAGTCAAATGTCATAATTTTTTGCAGTTATACCTCATAGTTTTTCTTGTTCGATTATGTAGATGGTACACTTGATAAAATAATATTAATAATTTTCCACATTCACATTCACATGCACACTAACACAAGTATAATCTAATGGAATTTATGGTGTATAACATAAAATAAATATTGTTATTAATATGTTGACATTTAAGTAATTGGCTTTGGTTCACCAAATCTTGATTCAAAATCCAACAATTGACTTTCATGAAAGAAGAAAATGTGGTGGAGCCAAACTAGCCATGTTTCTTTCTTACATCTCCATGCCATCCTTTAGTGACACAAAATCAAATTAGTGATCAACATACAATTCTTTTATATATATATATATACACACACACACAAATGAACTTATAAATCTTTGAGCAAGTTACATTCAGCCCAGAGGTAAGTCTAAATTACGAAAACCCCCCTCATATTTGGATAATTACAACCATCCCTCAATTGTGTATTGTGTTACAAAAAAACCCCTCCTCCAGTAGGTAAATTCGATATCGTAATAATGGGCGTGTAATATCGAATAATGGGCGTGTAAGACAATACATATTTGAGGAGATGATTGTAAATTGTAATTATCCTAAACACGAGAGTTTTTTTTTTTTTTTTTTTTTTTTATATATTTAAGCATATCTCAGAGTCGTAATTTAGCATAAATCTTTTGATGCAAAAACAAAGAATGAACAGGTAAGCTCATGGGCCCAAGAAACTTTTAAACACACGCACTAAACACACAGTAGTCAATATATATATATATATATATATATATATATGGTAAATTTCAAACACCCCCTAAGGTATGGTCAAATTACAAAAACACCCCTCTTGTTTGGATAATTACAACCATCCCCTCAACTCCTCAAATTTAGTGGAATCTTCGAGATTATATGGAATATTATCACTTTTGTACCCGTTTTATCTCATTCAAACTCTACATTATAAAACAAGATGATCAGAATATGTGATTTTTAACTTGTATATATCAGTTTGTGGTGCATCAGAAACTGTATTTTTACACAAAATGAGTACAAACTAGAGCACATTTCATGGAACCTAGATGATTATGTTGAATTTGGCACCATGGGGGTGGAGGTGTAAGAAAAAATCATAGTTGAGGGGGGTAGATGTAATTATCCAAACAAGAGGGAGATTTTTGTAATTTGACCATACCTCAGGGGGGTTTTTGTAATTTACCCATATATATATAATGATAATTGTATGAAGAAAAAACAATGAAAGAAGAGAATCATAAATCATGCACACAATGACAAAACCTGGCAAGAAACTATTTTTGTCAAAGGGAATTTGGGTATGTGTGCCTCTCTGCTTATTACAGAAAAAGAAAAAAGAAAAAAGAAAAAAAAAACACTGTTCTCTCCACTTTGGTATGTTTGCCAATATACATACAAAAGTGCCTGTACCAATGACTTGTCACTCCCACCACTATTTCTTTTGTTGCCCATTCACTACCTCATCGAGTCAATTTCAATTTTGGGCTGAAATATTCGATTTTATATTTTCGGATTTTTTTTTAATTTCTCAAAAATATATTCATATATATAAGTTTTATTCATATATATAAGTTAATTACAATTTCGTTACAAAAAATTTAGCCTGGAATCCACATTTTCGCATGCGCATAACACATGAAAAACAAGAAAACAAGATAATGTGCGTATCGAAAGATGGATGGTATATTAATAGAAGGTGGTGAGGTGAGTGGTGGCTCCTCCACCACCGTGGTGGTGGTGGTGGCGACCACCATTCGAAGAAGAATCATGGGATGAGTTGCGGGGGCCTATATCCACCACTCAGTGTAATCTCTACTTCATAATATATATTGACTTACACAATTTGCTTCTGTTACAAAGGTAACAACAACAAAACATATTTCAAAAAATAAACTTATGTCGAAACCGAAAAAAAGGGGGGGAAATATACACATAGAATTGTCCCAAGAATTCAACAGTTATCTTTTATGTACCCGAGTTTTTTTTTTTCCCTTCGTTTTTTTGTGTTTGGGGAATATGACTAAAACAATTGGAAGAGAAGATTGGTCGATCCGTCACCGTAAGATCGAAGATCAGCAGCTCTAACAAGTGCCCTGCACAAAGGGCAAGTTCTCTCCCTCTCAAACCTGAATTCAAGAATTTGCAGTTTCATCAGTTTTCCGTAAAACAATCAATCATTTAATATTTGAAACAGTTCGTCGGTTGGTGAAGTTACAACAATAATATGATACATCACATAGTAATCGAACAATGAACTCAGAAATAATGTTGAAAATATAAAAGACGGACTCAACCCAAAAAGAAAGAATAATTTGTTATCCTTTAATCTAGAGTACGATAGCACGCAAATGGAAAACTAAGCCAGCCAGTCGAACACTTTAGTTTTTTTGTTTTTTTCTTTAAGAGAGTTGAGATCAGCCGATTTGAAGCTTGAATTCATGTAAGTAGCGGGAAATTGTTGATTATTGAATTACTTCGTTAATGAAGATAAACAGGCAATTACTAGTTTCAAAATTTATAATTAACTTGACTTCACTAAAATGGCATGATGCACTTGCCTAAACGTACAAGTCAGTCTATCACCAACATAGAAAGTATACTACATTTTGAGATGTTTGAAGGGAAGACCAACATAATATTAATTTAATAAAAAAATAAAAAATAAAAAATAAAAAATAAATAAAAGAAATGAATGACCAACATAATAATAATATATTTTTTTTAAAAGCAAAAAATAAAATAAAATGGAAACGAATGACCAACATTGCATGATCGATGACAAATTGTCTCTGGAAGTGATTTTAATTGAAGCTAATGAAACAACTATGAATAAGGGCGTGTTTGCAAAAGCGTATGTAAAAACAGAAGCAAAAGCAAAAGCTGCGTTTGCAAACACTTATTATGAGCCCAAAATGGCTCATAATCACTTTTTCAAAAGCTTTTGCAAACATCACCTAAGTTGTAGTGAATCCAACAAAAAACACAGCATAGTAACAAGAACCAAAGTAACGACGAATGCGTAACTGCAATATTATAGTAGAAAGGGAAACTAACCATTCTGAGACACAGTCTTCACAGAAAACATGTTTGCAGCGTAATAAGATTGGAGTGTGCATCTTCTCCTGGCAAATAGCACATAGATCTCCAGCCGCACTTACCTAATTTAAAATAAATAGAAAAAAAAAAATCTTTGAATGCGAACATGTACAGAAAAACATACGTAAATCTTTAAAATCCGAGGAAATATCGCACCTGTTCTGGTGTTGCATAAGACCCGTAATGTATTTCCTTTCTTGATAATGCCCTCAATGAAGCTACAAAGGATTGAACCTGTATGTATATATATGTATAAATAAGTATTTGTCAGAGTTGGTACACTCAAGATTCAAGAACACAGACAATAGGACAGAGTAAAAGTTGTTGACTTGAATTACCTTGTCAACAATTGACGTAAGCTTGAAAGTTAAGTACAAGCCTGTAGTCAGTGATGAAAAGAGACTCCCATATTCTTTGTTCAAGAAAAACCGATACCATACAGGTGTCGGTAATAACGCACGGTATAGCAGGGTTGTGTATTCAACAAGGGTCAACATTTGCCCCTGAAATGAACAACCAAAATTCTTACACTCGTTAGATTCCTAAGCAATTCAAGCAGACATTTATTACTATTATCATCTACTCTGGAAATAAGTTTTACCTGTCTACGAAAATTATGGCCTCTACCATTCTTATAATACATCATCACAGCCAATTTCAAGACCATTGATGCCTGACGTACCATTGTATCTGACAGTAACAAAGATAACGTAAAATTTAGAAATATCTCTACATAAATCAGAAAGATTAGGAAATAAGATAAGATGATGGTAGAGAATAGCAAGAATAATAAATCATTAAAAACAAAAAAGGGCATACCGTTTACGAGGATGATGAACAGGGCATGCCAGAAAGGTGGGATCGCATTTGGTGGAATCATTAGTAGTGAATTGAAAAACGCGTTCTTTTTATGCCACCAATATATGCCAAGGATATGAAACATGAACAGAACCGAATAACCAATAAGGACAGATATCTTCCTTTCTCCCTGCAAAAATCCGATGTTCATATATTCGGGATTTCTATTTTTACCGTCTTTTTTGGCGAAGAAGATGGTGCTAGAAAAATATTTAACCCATGGAACAGGAAAAGAAAAAAAAAAACACACCTTTAAGGATGTTTGCTTCCGAAGAATGTCATTAGACTTGAAAAGGATGGCAGTGATGTAAATTGCAACAACAAATCCTGAAAACCAGTACATACAAAAGTCAAGAGCTCTGTGTTCAAAGATGACAAAAATATCCAATTACAGAGAAGTCAAAGAAGTTTCTTGCTTTATTCTTTTCCGTATTATACAAGCAGTCATTATCCATAATAAATGGCAACAGATTATCACCAAAAAATGCAGCAGCCTTCTCATTACCTAAAACGAGAAACTATTAACTTATATTGAGTGGAAGCAATCATGGTTAACTAAAGGAAACACTACAAAAGATTCATAATCTCAAAGGGCTATAGTAAATTTGTTCGATTGGTCACATTCATACATCACCCAGAAGTAAAAACAAAAGCGAAAAAGGGTCAGAAATTCACGAGGGTGTGCCAATAATCAGCTGATATAAGTATATGAAAAAAAGTTAGATAACCTCGTACATCGCTACCTTCCCCTTTGAGTTTATTCTTAAAGGAGTTTAATTTTCCTTTGCTTGCTTATAATCAGTTTCTCCAGGCACAAACTTGATTTCTCAAAGTTCCAGGGTCGTACACAATCAATTGTCGTGATTTTCCATGAAGTGATCGCGCAAAATGAATAACCCAAAGAGAGAGCAGAAATAAGGCATCTCACAGACTCAGACAATAGGCTGTTCAAGTGTGTGCGCGTGTGACATGGAGATTAACATTGCAATAACCATAGAGCAGAACCATTACCATCTCCACAAAATTGCAATTCAACGGAATAGCCATTCAAGTTCACGATGTTCGCATTTGCAAACTAGTTACAAGTGCTTATAACTTGGCATTGCCAAAACGGCAAAACTTAGATACCAAAATTAGTAACTTCGAATGGTCGTCAGAAAGTTTATCCTCACTTAACTCTTACTACTCTGGTATTGAAGGGGTACAAATCCACTTAAGACTCTCTCTCTCTCTCGTACCATACTTCTGATCACACACACGCTATAAATAACTTACGAGAATGAGTAATCAGCTCACGAAAGCGCCAACAAACTTTCCAGGAACAACATGTTTTTTTCTCTAAGATCTTGTTCGAAAGAAGATATTCAATCAGCATAATATCCTTACAGTATCACTGACAATACTTATAGAAGCTGAACATTCACTCCTAATTCTAAACGACGGAACCACAATGGACTGCTAATCACAAGAACTATGGCAAAGCATCTGCTAATTATCCCACCAGTCACATAAATTTGCATATGCTCACAGTAATCATAATGGACCAAAGCATATATGTATATATATACATGTATATATTACCTTGCAAGTGCTGTCGAATAAATACGACCAACAAAAGCAACGAAAACGGAAGAATCTGCTCAATCCACCTCGCCGCCTGCTGTATATCATATCTCTGGTAAGTCGACCCTTCTCTGTTACTGCTATCGCCGTCGCTGCTTCCATTAACATCTTCACCGCCCACCGTAGAATCCTCCTCCGCGCCCAATCCCGCCCTACTAACATCATTCTCGCCGTTATCCCCAATCCTATTATCCTGCTCCCGCTCCCCGATTATCCGAATCGAAACCTCCCCGTTACCACTGCCGCCTCCGTCAACAGCGTCGATTGACTGCGAATTGCTAGGGTTTTGCGAGTTAAGAGTGGGGGCCACGTTCTCGGGTATGAGGGGGCGGGTTTCGGAGTATGGGTAATCGGGTCGGACCCTGAGGATGCCGGAATATTCGAGAAGCGACGAGACCGGGGACTGGAGAAACCGCATGTAAGGGAGGTTGTGGAGGATTCGTGAGCTCGATCCTCCATTGCTTGTTGATGAAGGTGGGGACGATTCCATATTTGTAGCGTCTGAACTCGATGCCTCCATAAATATTTGACAAAAATTAAAAAAATAATATCTGAAATGAAGAAACCCTTGGTGAAGAAGAATATATGGTGATAGTATTTGAAGATTAGGGCTTTCGGTTACAGGAAGAAAAAAAATGGCGGAGAAGTGTTCAACGGAGAAAAGTCGGATGAGGGATCATTTACTAGAAATTAATTCAGTCGTACAGAAACGTCTACATATATAATTATATATATATATATTTGTATATTTGTACTTTGTATGTATAGAAGTTCTAGAGAGAGAAAGTGATTAATTACTGCCAGAAAAGAGGAGAGAGAGTATCTGAGTGTGCAGAGATGAAGACAGGTTGAAGAAGAAATATTTGGGGATTTTGGTTTAATTTAGAAGAAAGCGTGTAAACTGGAAAAGAGGAGAGAGAACGTGAAGAAAACGCATTTTCCAATTAATTAATTGTTGCTATTATTAGTTAATTACATCATTAATTATCATTTTACTTGAATTAGCGTAACAGTGCGCACAAGACTGAGAGAGAGTCAACATACGGGGTAATTTTCTTTCTTTTTAAGTTTTTTTCTACTTTGGTGATTAAATGCCGCTTATAGTACTTTTGTATTAAACTTATTCTAAATCGTTGATAAGCTTTTACGTCTGAAAAGTTATTTTAAGAGCTGATAAGTTATCACGTCTTATTTATATAATTAATTATTAAATTATTTGGATAATAAGTTTATAAGCTATTTTTACTTATTATAAGCTCTTAAATTAAAAAGTAGGCAGAAGTGCTTTTCAAAAAAGATCCTAGGTGGTGTTTGCAAATGCTTTTAGAAATAGATTATGAGTTTTTTTCTGCCTATAATCTGTTTTTAGGTGTTTGCAAAACAAGCTTTTGTTTTTTGTTTTTCTTAAAATAAGTTGCTTAGCTATAATTTTAAAAGCGCCTATGTAACTGCCTTTTCTATTTTAGTAGATTTTTCAGTTAATTTGCAAACACACCCAAGCTTATAAGCTCTTAAACATCTCAGCAACTCTTTTTAATAATTTATAAATTTAGCCAAAGGCCGTCTAAATTCATAAAAAAAATATTCTTTTTTTTATGGTTGGTTGACACGGAATAAGATAAGATTTCTAAAGATGGATTTGGTAGAGCTGTTGCTTAGAAAATGATGTGAATTCATCATGTGTTGAACAATTATATTCAATTTGAGTTTAAAGAAATGTATTTTGAAATCCAACAATAATAGGATTATTGATTTTATTTGGTATGAAAACTTGCAGCCACTCAAAGTACAATAATAGCTAGCAAACCAAATGCGATATGTAAACTATAATACATATTATGCGTGATGAACTTGATTTTAAAAGGTGTTCGAATTCGAACTCATATCAAATGACATCTCTCTTTTTCCAATCGCACAAATAAATAATATCATGCTTCAATCATCCAAATTGACATTTTCAATAATAAACCAAGTGACACTTTCAATAATGTAACACTTGGAAGAAGCACTTTTTCCGTCATATGACCAGAACTCGCAACCTCGCACAATTGGGACATTTTTCGTGTTTTATGTTCATTTTTCCAAAAAATAAATAAATAATATATTTTGCAGTAGCAATCAATATCATATGAACTCTCTCCTATTCGGTCAAAAAATCATATTAATTAATAATTACTATACATAAGTAAATTTTTATTCTATTACGTGTAATTATTTTAGAGAGAATAATTGAAAAAGAAAATGAAAAAGTAACATTCGCATTTATTTTAGTGAAGACATTTGTTACCGTAATAAATATGTCGACAAAAGTGTTTAAAGATTTGTTACCGTAACAATTCAAGAAACATCACGAAATACGGAGCTCGATACAGCATTTTCAAACTAGTAAAATGAACCTACGTTTAACGATAGGATTGATTGCAATAGCACAAAAGGGTGGAAACTTATTTCATCCTTTCCAATTATCCTTTCGCAGTCGAATTTCACGCATGGCTTCAACTGGTGACTTGCACCCAACCTTCTCCTGCATAATCAAAATTCAATTAATTCCAGTTAAATAAATTACATGCAAAGATTTCTGAGACGCTAGTATACAAACGTTGTGGCGCTCGAGCATGTACCCGATTAAAATCTCCTAAATAATAATGTCTTGAATTTAAATAAAATACCTGAACCTCGGTTAGATCAACACGCATGAAGGGGTTAGTCTCGAATTCTTCCTCGATAGTTGATGGAATTGTAGGAAGACCAGTCCTTCTCTTCTGCTGGGCCCACAATAATTTTTGGGATATTCTCTCATTCTCTGGTTCCACAGTCGAAGCAAATTGCAAGTTTTTTACTGTATACTGAAAACAAAATAAAACAAAATAAAATAATAAATAAAACATTAGCCACAATACAAAAAGTTAGTATGTATATTAATTACCTCGTGGCCACAATATACTTGAGTGGGCTTGGGCAAAGAACCGAGGGTAGTGCATAAAGATTGATACATCTGCTCCGCAGTGCCTTCGAAAAACTTCCCACAGCCAGCAACAAACTTGCAGATTCGTGAAAACACGGAAAAAATCGAGAAGAAATCATAATCGAAAAATTGTGCAATTACGAAACTCAAAGAGATGGACTTGTAAATTGTAATCGAGCTTAATCAGGGAACTTGGATCTACTAAAATTCGCTATGCAAGTAAATATAACCGATCCACGTTTATATGTGAATGCGATTCACATATCTTATTGCCATAACATTACAACTACTTCAATATTAAGTTTTCCCTCAATTCTTCTCCATTTCTAAGTTATTAAAACAAATCAAGAAAAAAAAAACTCAAAAAAAAAAAAAAAAAAAAAAAAAAAACCTAATCCCGGCTCACCAATGTGTCACCAGTAAAAACGGCAGGCACATCTCCTTCTTTGGCAGTGACGTAGTAGCTTATATGGCCCTTTGTGTGGCTAAAATCAGAACAAATAACAAATCAACTCAATAAATAAACACAATGGTGAGATGCAGTTACTATTGCTCAATGATGTATTTTTGGTATCGATTATGTATAAATAAAATAAAATAAAAAATCTCGCAGAACATACCACGGTGTATGGAGAGACAATATACTGATATCAGCCCCGAGCGAAAACCTATCACCATTTTCGACTTTGTTAGTGCAACCTTGCACATTATCAACCGAACCACCGAAAATCTCGATATCGGGCAATAACTGCTTCATCTTGTCATTTCCACCAGCATGATCCCTACCATACAAAAATAATCTAAATCAACATTTTTGCACCATATCATTTATTTTATTTTTCTCGAAAAAAGGGGAAATTCGTTTTCCAAACATAAACAAAAATTAGATACTAATTCTATCAGAACTACCAGCTAAAACAACAGAAACAAATCACAGTTGAAAAACTAACACAGTATTGAACAAATTTAGATACTAATTCTATCAGAATTAATATATACTAATTCGTTTCCAAACATAAAAAAAATAGATACTAATTCTATCAGAAATACCAGCTAAAACAGCAGAAACAAATCACAATTGAAAAATTAACACAGTATTGAACAAATTTAGATACTAATTCGTTTCCAAACATAAAAAATAGATACTAATTCTATCAGAAATACCAGCTAAAACAACAGAAACAAATCGCAATTGAAAAATTAACACAGTATTGAACAAATTGATGAGCTGAAACAAGCAATTACTGCAGAAATTGAAGGGGAAAAAGAAAAAAAAAAACAAAAAAAAGATGACCAGTGATGGTGGGTGGTAAGAACGAGCTTGAGGTGAACGCCGTTCTCTTCAGCTACGCGAAGAATCTTGTGAGGCTCGACTGGGTCCACCACCGCCGCCTCTTTCGTCGCCTCGTCGATAATCCTGTATCAGAAGGAAGATTTAAATTAAAAATATTTCGAATTTAATTAATTGTTGAGATGAGATGATGAAATTTGGGGAAAAGAAGGAATTGATTTTTGGAAGTGCGATTACAAGTAGGAGTAGTTGTCTTCCAAACATGGAATATGGAGGATCTGCATATTTCGCCGGAGATTAGTGGCTGCTGAGAGATAGCTCAGTCGGTGGTGGAGGAAATGGGATGGCGGAACTAATTTATATCCACCGTGAGAGGACACGTATGTTTAGTGTTATATAAATATAAATTTAGCTGCTCCATATCAAATAACTGTTAAATAAAAATAATTAATAATAATAATAATATTGTTGTGAAATATAACTTATAGATAATATAGAAAACAAACTGAAGTTATTATATATATGTATTCTGAAGAGTTAAAATATAAAAAAGAAATAGTAACAGAGAAAAAGAAGAATTATGCATATGAAAGCTACGATATATTATTTCTATTTACACTGTCTTCTATTTATACATATATTTTGGACTATCATTAGTCATCATGCATTACAGATGGCATAAGCAATTTAAATTACAATTAAGACACATTGCATATCCATGCAATCACGTGCAAAGCCATTGCATCACGTGCAAAGGAGCCATTTCATTGGTTGCTTGAGTCCATGTAGACATAACAAATATATTATTATTATGGTTGAATATATGGTTGCCACAAACGTGGGCCATGTATGTGACTTTCTCTGTTACTGTCTTATTATATTGGGTTCATTAGATATAACCCCCTTAGTTTTATAAATAATAGGGTTATTAGATCCAAACTCAAATTTGTCATTTTGATAAAAACCCATATTTTTCTAAATTCCATCAGTACCCTCAATCAAAATCCCACAAATCCCGTTACTTTACCTTTTGAAAGATATCAAATCCCTCCCTATTTTCTCGTTAAAACACTATCCCCACTAAACCCACTTCCAAATTCTACAAAATTTCAAAAAACCAGAAAAATTATACGCCGGGAAGAGAGCACGCTATACGGGGGATCGACGCCTTTCTGCACTTCGACCACTCTGGCACTGGTATGTCTTCGCCGCTTGTTGAAACGCCGTCACCCATCGATATGTTAATGTGTTTTTGCTTAATCGACTGTGACTTTGGTTTATTTGCAGATATTTTCTAAATCGCCTACAGATATCGAGCCCTAAATCTGTGGTTTTGCAACAATCGATGGGCAAGACATCCGCCAGAAGTGGTAACCCATGTCAATTTTTTTGTTTAACTGCAACGTGGTACTCATCTTGTATTGGTATTAATGTAGATCGTTTTTTAAAAAAATTACGTCGTGATATATACATCGTTATTGACTGATGATGTTTGTCTTGGAGCAGGATTCACGTAGTCGCAAGAGGATGGTTCACGTATTCTGACCAGAGTTGTTGTATATGAGTATCGTAGTTGGTTTACGCAGTAATCGAAATAAATGTTTGGTGTGGTCGAGTTCATGAAGTTGACCCCGATTAATAGTTGTTTTGTTTGTTTACAGCAGTCGATTTTAATGTATTCGGTAGTACATTGAAATATATTTCATAGTCTATGTTAATTGATTTTTTGGATTATGCATTTTTTAAGTTCATTTGATGATGTTAATTTCTTGTCATTGAAATGTATTTGGCAGTCTATTTAATCAATTTTTCGTATTATGCAACACTTTCGACACACCAAAAAACAAACATGTGATGAATAGCATATTACTGCAATCGATGAGATAATCTCATCACAATTATGATTTTACATTAGTATACATAAAAATTTCATATAACAGACAACTGTATTTTTCAACCACATAGTATATTAATAATTTCAATATAGTACATTAATCTGCTATGATAGTATATTACGGTTATAGTAGTAGTATGAAATTGTGTTACAAACAATATACCACTGAAATGACAAGAACATTGAGAACAAAACCAACGTAAAGTAATTCCAACATAACCAATAAAATACTTAAAACACATCATAACACAATCAAACCAATATGTCGAGTTAAAAAACTCTAGTACATTAATAATCTCATAATAGTATAATAAAAAGATAATGGTAGTATCATACGGTATTCATAATAGTATACTAATATATTACAACGGTTTAACACTTAGCTGAAGTTACCGAGCTATTACATCGTAAACACGACATTAATTAAACATATCAAATCTTAGGGGGGTTTGGAAAATAACAACCATCGGAATCAATTGAATTCATTGAGTTTATGTCCTCGTCGCTATCATCAGGAATGCAATCGACTTCTTCGTCGGACACTGCACAACGCCTCTATTCAATGCATCACTTCCAGTGGCATCAACAGCTCCAACTAGTTCACCCCCACCCCCTGTTCCAGCATCATCAGAAACAACAACTTCATTATTATTACGAACTTGGGGCGACCCGTTATTCTCGACATACAAACAAAACCAACACATGTTGAAGCCTATTCGTTCATAATAAATCATCATGTGCTTCGAACTACGATAATTGATTAAACAGACTACCAAATACATTTCAATGTACTACATAATACATTAAAATCGACTGCTGTAAACAAACAAAACAACTATCAATCAGTTTCAACTTCATCAATTCGACCACGCCAAATTTTTATTTCGATTACTGCGTAAACCAACTACGATACTCATATAAAACAACTCTGGTCAGAATACGTGAACCCTCCTCTTGCGACTACGTGATACCTGCTCCAAGACAAACATCATCAGTCAATAATAACGATGTATATATCACGACGTAATTTTTTTTTAAAAACGATCTACTTTAATACCAATTGAATCAACATATCAACACAAACCTTATAATGGCTAACCACCATAACACAACAACCCTTGCACATGACAGCGAAAAAATAAACGAACAAAAACTGTTCATACTCACGTAATGATGAAAACGATGAAAACGCTCAGATCCGAAAATACTACCACGCCGGTGAAAAATTCTTCCTATCCGGATTGTACACGATTTGATAATGATGAAAACGATGAAACCACCAATATACTCACTCACGTAGTTTTAATCCGTGATTATAGGCAACATATCAGCAATCCCATATCAAATCGTTAAGGAAAAACCGTCCAAAAATAAAATAGGGGTATTATAGGGAAATTAAATAATATATTGTGCCAAGTTGGCATAATTGGGTGTATCTCAAAAAGGGAAAAATCAAATGGATCTACCTCATTAGAAAATCTCAACAAGGGGGTTATCCCTAATAAATCCTATTATATTTTGTTTTTGTTGTAATACATATTCTAAGTGACTAATTAGATTCAATTAAATCAAGTATTTTATTATATGTTAGTTAGAGTAATAATTATCAATTAATAATATTTGGGGATTCACAAGTTGATACTGTTAAAAATTCTTGATTTATTTTGTTATATGAGACTTATATTGATTGGTGCGAATTTACTTTTAACTCTTGTCCATTCTATTTGTTTGGGGAGCGGCTAAAACAAATACCGTTTCTTTCTTACTTCAATACCACCAACATAAAAAATAAGAAATAAATAGATAATAAATAGGTAATGACATTATTACTCTTAATGAAAATCAATACCACACACAAAATTTGGATGGTGTTGATTTTATTAAGGGTATTAATGTCATTACATATTTATTATCTATTTTTTTTTATGTCGGTGGTATTGAAGTGAGAAAGAAACGGTATTTATTTTAGCCGCTCCCATTTATTTGTAGAATATGGATGGATTTGTGATAAAAATAAACGTCATCAGCTAGGAGAGTCATCTACTTCAAATGATAATATCAATGTTGGAATGCCGACTAATGATAACGTCCAAGAAGAAACGCAAACTAATGTTAGAATCCAAGAAGAAACGCCAATTAATGATAGCTTTCCAGAAGAACATGCTCAAGGTATTCACATTCAATCGCAAGTAGAGGTTAATTTAAGTGCTATTGAAGCTGACCCGAGATTGAGATTGCCTATTAGTGATCTTGCCAAGACTTCTAAAGAGCTTGAAATTGTTCGAAGAGTTTATTTACAAAAAGGTCCTTGTCAACCTCGACTGTGTAAATTCCTCAAACTACTTCCTATGGACAACAACGCAAATTTATTGTAGGTTGATACAATGAGTTTGGTAGTTGGTTGGAATATAGTGAAAGTAAAGACGCGGTATATTGTTTATGTTGCTATTTATTTAAGGTTGGAGAAAGTGTCAAAGGTGGTGGTGGTAAATTCGTCAGTAAAGGTTATAGAAACTGGTACAAGAAGAAAAATTTAAGAAAACACGAGGGAAATCATGATAGTGTTCATCATCATTGCTATATGGCTTGTCAAGATTTGATGAATAATAAAGGTCACATAGATGTTCATCTTGAGAGCAAAACTAAGGAATCTAAACGCGGCTACTACATTCAGTTGCGTACAACAATGAAGGCCATTAGATATCTGTTAAGGCAAGGACTTGCATTTCGGGGGCATGACGAGTCAAAGAGTTCGCTAAATAAAGGTAACTTTGTGAAACTTATAAAGGTTATGGCGGGAGATAATGATGAAATTAACAAACTTGTTTTCGATAACTCCAAAGGAAATTGTATTATGACATCACCGAAAATTCAAAAATAAATCATTAGTTTGTTTGCTCATTTAGTCTCGAAGACTATTATTTCTGATATTGGAGATGATTTCTTTGCTTTGTTAGTTGACGAGGCACGTGATGTCTCCATTAAAGAACAAATAACGGTTGTTTTACGTTGTGTAAACAAGGAAGGAAAAATTATTGAACGCTTTCTTGGTGTTGTTCATGTTCCAAATACGACTTCACGATGTCTGAAAGCTTCTCTTGAGTCTCTTCTTACCATATTTAGCTTAAGTTTGTTGCGATTGCGTGGCCAAAGTTATCATGGAGCTAGTAATATGCAAGGAGAGTTTAATGGTTTGAAGAGTTTAATATTGAAAGAAAACAAGTTTGCTTTTTATGCTCATTGTTTTGCTCATCAGCTTCAGTTAGCTCTTGTGCAAATTACTAAGAAAAATAAGCAACTTTTAGAATTTTTTGGTTATCTTGCATTGTTGGCTAACGTTATTTGAGGTTCTTGTAAACGTCAAGAGTTGCTTCGGGAGAAACAATTTGAGAAGTTATTGGAAATAGTTTCTTTTGATAATTTTGTAAGTGGCAGAGGTTTGAATCAAGAGTCCACTTTAAAAAGGCGGGGAGATACACGTTGGAATTTGTATTATTTCACAATCACGAGTATGATTAAATTGTTTCCTTCGGTGGTTGGTGTACTAGAGTACTTAGAAAATAATAGTGATGATGTTTCTCATTGTGGACAAGTCTCAATGTTTTTATGGAATATTGTGTGTTTCGAGTTTACTTTTATCTTGCACTTAATGAGATCGATCTTAGGGATCACAAATGATTTGTCACAAGCACTTCAAAAGAAGGATCAGGACCTTGCAAATTCTATAAAACTTGTTATTTTTGCTAAAGATCGACTACAAGAATTGAGAGAAGGTGGGTGGGACGATTTGTTGCGAGAAACTTCATCATTTTGTGTTCAAAATATGTGATGATTTTGTACTTTACTCGAGAGATGGCAGAGTATCGCAAAAAGGTACGCAAATTACAAACTTGAATCATTGTAAGGTTGATGTGCTTTATACAATGATCGATCTTCAACTTTCATAATTGAATGATCGTCTTGACAATACTATACGCGGTTACTTATTCTGATATCATGTTTTGATCTAAGTAATTCATTCTCTGCATTTAGTAGGTGACATGTAGGCAAGTTAAATTAATGTGGGAATCCTAAGATGATAAATTGTAGGACTATAAACTTATCCACAGACCCAATCCAAGAAACACAAGGACATATTGATAGCTTTTTAATTAATCCCAACAGTGTAATCTATGTTTATCAATAATGGATTGTGTAATCCTGTCATCAAAAGCAAAAGGGCCCTCATTGGATAGAAAAGTTTTAAGTGTTGTGTATTCACCACCTCCATCAGAATACATAGTGGTCATTGGTTGTTGAAAGTATTTTTTCCCGACTAGCAATTTGTATTGAAGAAATTAAACGAGACATCAGATTTAAGACGCATAGGGCAGAACCTCAAACATATTTAGTGTAATAATCGACAAATATGACATAATAATAAAAATCATCAATTGATGCTATTGGAGAAGGACTCCAAACATCAGTGTAAATTAGATCAATGGGACTAGTGCTGGTTAAAGTTGAATCACCAAACGACAATGGTTGAATCGTATTACGGAGGCAAGACTCACAATAAAAAGACGAAGGTATAGTTGCGAAAATAGAAAGAAGACTGGAATTAACTACAGACAACATTTTTTTAGAGGATGGATGACCAAGCCAACCATGCCAAACTGTTGGAGAAGTCGGAGAAGCAACAACAATAGATGGAGCCTTAGTTGGGCAAATGTTTGCATCCTCCGAAGTTGGCCACTCGTAGAGATCATGTCGATTCTTTCCGTGGAGCATAGGGGTCCCTGTATGCAAACCCTTAACAACAAAGAACCATAGAAGAAATTCAAATAGAATTATTATTCGAGCCGCAAAATTTTGCTACTGATATTAAGTTTTGTTTGATAGATGATAAGAAGTCCGTTACAGAAGAAGAGCCACGAGTGACTGATGACAATTTATCTTTTAATATGATTAATCTGAGAAGTTGAGCGCTCAGCGCAGAGATGATGAAAGCGTTGCCGTGCCTCTTGACTGGTGGGGGCAGATGTGATAAGTGGAATGACCACCTCACTGACGGAGGCGAAGATGGCATGAAGTATCAACTGACCTCAACGACGCCAAACGCTATTGTCCAGGTTGACTGTCTAAACACCCTTAACAGAGGTAATCGACTAGGGGCATGGGTTGGAACGATCCACGTAGCCGAGAAGATCGAGTCCATAACATAGAGACTGAAATCGAGCTTTCCAGGAGAAATAGACCTACTTGACAGAAGTGAGTCTCGAGAGTGGTTAAGCAGCG